CCGACGTGGTAATTTAGCTTCCCAAATAATGAACTTGGTACTAGACCTTGGCGCCACGATGAGGCATTTCCACGATACCAAGGCGATTGGCGAATAACTTCCAAATCAAGAACAGTTTCCAGAAGATGGCGCGAGTGTTTGCATTTTACCTTTGTCAGGAGTTGTCTGAACTGAAGTGTTGTACACGCCCACTTCCCGACTGGGAAACATGTTTTTTTTTAATTCACACAATGTCAACATAACTGCAAGGACCTTGACTTGCATAATAAGAAACGTGGGCGTTATCCAATGATTCCTTGCAATATTTATTTCCACAAAGTCGGGAAAACAAACAACGCCCTAACTGCGCACCGACGTATCTGTTTGTATTGTGATCTTTACTTGCTTCAAAGGCTTGAGATTTCTTTATTTTTTCTCATTAACATCGAACGAATTGCGTTCTCAACGTTAGTTGCTGCTGGGGAAAATGGGCGGATGATGCGGTCCGCAGCATTGCTCCATTCAACGTCAACAGACTCTGTCAAACGGTTTCTAAAGAAAAATAATTCGGAAACAATACTATGTTAATCACTACCGAATCATGGAGGAGTATAGACCCCAACGTTTTCACGCTTGCAACCATTAATTTCATTAAAGGTGGAAGAACCATCAATAAACTTAAGCATTCTCACCAACTCACACGGAATAGTCTTGGTAGTCAAACTAATCACCCAAAAAGGTGTATAAAAGAGCCCCGGACTCATTTTCCCTAATTGCCACGCCACAATTAGCTGCACAGAGGTGGGCCTTGTCAACCCATGCGGAAACATCGCGCCGTATGCCAGGTGGGTGAATGCTATCTATACCCATACCCACTTGTAAATTAAAAGACACTGCTTATTTCAAGCGCGCCGCCATCAGTACTTCCGTTATTTTGAAAGTGCAAACACAACAAAAAGCTCATTTTCTCCAGAAAGGCAATCTTAAAAAATGAATCCTGGAGATCGGCGAATAAAGTCGCTTCCGACACAACTGCCGGCAAAATATTCCTAGATGTGGCATAATGGCGCGTCCGCTTCGCAGGGGGCCCTCTGCGTCCTTACCCCGCGGCCGTGCAATCCATCGACACCGCGGCTCTGTCAGCTTACCTTCTATACCCAAAAAGAGCACAACGCATGCCACACCATCCGTGGATAAGGTGCCTTGGATAATTTCAGCCCCCAGGGGCATTAGGCATCTGCTGCGGGTGTCCTGTGTCTGCTTTCTTTCACCTTTCCGCGCGGGCAGTGGGGTAAGAGCTCGGACGTCCCTTCGAATCTTGCGCGCGTATGCAGATTCAATCGTTCCACCAACCGCACAATTCTCAGAACAGGAACGTTGAACTGATATATTGGGATGGCCATCTCTTTCTCTGAAATTCAAGCTGCACTGCGTGACTGCGGCGTTTAATTGGAGCCGCACTTTTAGACCGTGGTTTTTCCTTTTTGTAATATCCAAGGTTCTTGGCCCCACTTTTTTTCGGGCGCCGCCCCAAAGCCACCAAATGCGACACCCCCTTCAAAGAAAACGCGCGCCTCCAAAATTTCCGCGCCGCGTTTTTGCCGGAGATCAAACGGCAGAACGCATTTTTACCATTGGAGGGCCACATGTGGGCCCAAACCGCGCACCCCTGCAAAATGTACTGTGGGCCCCCGCGCTCCCCAATTTATGGTGTGAACCGTTGCGCTCTATGGCTCCAGAATGCGTTTCATCCTTTCTTCCTTCAGTGCGGCCGGGGGTTGGTAAGGCCTCAACGCTGGGAGGTGCTAAATCAGGTTGAAGGCGTTACAACCCTAAATTCGCAATCGCCTTGTTCCTCCATGGGGTGCGGCCGCGGCTCCCAGGCCCCGCCAAAGCATCATTAGGCCATTCATTTCAATGTTGAAGCAGCCTCCTGTCAATGCCACAGCCTCGGACCATGAAATTTCCGCAACACACGCAAGCTGAAGCACAACTCTCTCCTTCGAATCGCCTCTGGAACGGATCGTCTGATTCGCCCCCTCCTTCGATAAAAACCTCGCCTACATTACCTGACCCCTGGGGGCAATTCTTTGAAGCCCCTGGATTGCCATATCCAAGAGCGTGCGGATCATAGTCGGCATTGCTCGCAACACGCCCACGGGGCGCGCCCGTGCCAGACGGCCGATCCTATTCAACATTGGGAAAACAAACAGCGTTCCCTTAGTTCAGATGCCGGTTGTGCTTTTGGAAGAACGTTTAAAAAACCGACCTGGCAATAAAACGCGTTATCCCCGCGCGGGCGGGGCCCGCAATTCCCCGGCCACCGCGCGCCTGCCTTGGCCAAACGGCCGCTCCATAGCGGCGGCGTGGCGCACGTTTGCGCAGCAGGCAGGCCCCGCTAACGGATAACCCCGGGACCCTGACCTCGCCACTTCCGTTTTTGGATTTTGGCAGGCTGCCTAAACCCTTATTGGGCTCGGGGTGCGGGGCCGGGTGTGCCTTTGTGCGCCGCCGCGGGCGGTGGGTAGCCCCTCGCCGGTTTTTTGGTTAACGGCTCCCCGAACGGGGGCGAGAGGCATCTCCAGACCCACCCCCCTGCGGCTGCACATTGCAGGTCGGCCCCGTGTGTCCGCATGCGCCGCGCAATGTGCGGTGGGGGCGGCTGCCTTGCTTTCCTTCCCCCCTTCGGGGGCTAGGCAAATCAGTGAAGGGCGCCCGCCTTGCCTGCCGGGTTCCGCAACGGCGTGCCGGACCTGGGTTCCGAGAAATTCGGAACAGACAACGTAAACAGTGCAAATATAAAATTCTTTAATAATAAATTCGAAACCCTGTTAAGAATTTTATGGTGGGACCGTGGTCGCTTATGGTGTTTTTTTGCCCAGGAAATCAAACTATCAAAAATTCGTTTTACATGCTTATCGGTTTCACGTAAAAAAGCCAAAAGCCCCACATAGATCCATAATCTTTGACCGCCCTTTCTTCTGTAACCGCGGAAGCCGCGTCGCAACGTCGGGGCATTGAAATAGTGGGGCGGTGGCCGCATCACACCCCGAACCACCATCGCTGGCATTATGTATTCCGCCCTGTGGCGCCGGCGGCTGTCCAATAAAAATCGCTGGGCCCCCTTCCCCCGCAGGTATTCGCGAGATGCCTTTGTGAATTGCCCCCCGCCGGTCGGGAGACCCAACGGCACTCCTTTTTCGAATGCAAATAAATCCCAAGATTTCTGTTTTTTGGAGGGGGCTTCTTCAGTGGAAAAACATTCCCCGGCTGTGAAGCCAGTGGCCTTATTTCCCCCATTTGGCGAAATCGCCCCTTTCCTTTTTCACGATTCTCCCGCGTTTGGGCCTCATCAGCTGCAGCGTTGTTTTGGCCTGTTTGAAATTAAGAGTTGGTCTCGTTTAGTTGCTGCCAATGGAAGTGGCTGCGTTTTTCGCGGGCTGGCGGTTGTTTGATGGCGGCCCTGATGTCCTGGTTGGGCGCCGCTAAGCGATTGCAAATTTCAGCCGGAACCGTAGAATAGTGCTTATTCAAGTTTACCGGTAAATTGCCAGACGGCCCCTTTTGACGCCCGATGCCCCCTCACCACGTACAGGAATAGAACCCAAAAAATTATTTGCAATATTTAAGGATGAAAAGTATCCTTAAATTCGCCGTGTTATTGACAATTTTAAAATCGGTCCAAGGGCTCCTGCCGGGTGAATACTTTTTGGCCGGGCCCCGGTGGGTTGGCACGGCGCCCCCCCCCCAATACTGGCGGCACCCTTCTTTATTAGCAGGCGCGGCGCGTTGCCTCTGCCCCTCTTTGGCGTCCCATTGGTTCAGCAACACGATTGTACATTGCGCCCCGCTGATCCGGTCATGTGCGGCATCGCGGCTGTTGTTGGGCCTTTGAAAAGATGATTAAAGTTAAAATTTTCGCTGGAGCATACTGGAAAGCTTTTGAATAGAGAGACCTACCCTGGGAGAAAACCGTTTTACCAGTAATTAAAGAAAATATTTAGAAAAACATTCTTTTTACAAGCTCCCATAAATTCATGCGTGGGACTCTCTTCAACGACAAATTTGAACGCGCCTTCTAAAAAGGATAAAGCATGCAAAATACAACTTCTCTCCACAGTTTTTTTAAAGCCGAAGCCGGGTCTACACTTACCCTCTTTATGAAAACCACACGTTTAGATATTACTGCCAAGGCTTATTTGCCCAGCTTTTTTTTAGAGAACGCCAACGGTTTGGCAGTATTGCCTTACCTTCAATCCCTCAACAGCACGTATGAAAAAAAGCAACGTGCCCTTCAGCAGATGCGCCATTAGCTATCGGTAGATGTGTTTTGGAGAAGGCATAAGGAAAAATTATAAATTCTTTATCCTATGCTGCTTAAAATCAGAGCACTTTTTGATTTAAAGATGGCAGTGAAGTGGCAGAAGCCCAATTGGCCTATTGAAAAATCTACGGTCTGGCCGAGTTTCGTTCCAACCTCTGGGCTGCAAGAGTGGCGGCGGGAAAGCAACCGCTTAAAAGCAACAAAAAAAAGCCCTTAGCCAGCAGATTGGAAAATTAGTTTCAGAGTTATTTCTCAAGCGAACGAGTTTTAGCGGCCTTGTTAAAACCAACTTGCTTGCGCAAAGCCTTGGAGAGCTTTTAGAACGTGGCCAGATGGGGCAGTTGGGCCGACAACCCCCCCCCCCTATAAAGCATCAAGCTTTTGATGTGCGCGGGCGTCTGGTGAATCAAAACAGAGCAGTTCTACACGAAACAAACAGTGTAGCAATACCCTTTGCCATAGGCAATATGCAGGTGCCACTCGCTGTGGGATGCTGCTGTTGGATCTTCTTTGCTGAAGCCAGCCCGAAAGGCCAGCAGCAAGAAATGCGAATGAAGGCTTTTGCGTCCACTTTTCCAGTGCAAATTTTCTTAACATGTAAAAGCAATGTGCTTATCAAATGCGGGTAGACCTGGGCATTTGCAAAAACTGAGCATCTGGGGACTGTTTCTAGCATCAGGCATGGGGGACGTTCAGCCGGTCACCCCCACCATGGCCGCAAGGTGGCTCTAAAGATCGCCAATAAAACCACAGCAAGGCCCTACACAGGGAAAGGCGGGAATTGAATTCTTGAGTTCATCCCAGCCACACCTGTGTGGTATTGGTTTGGCCCAGACACCCTTCCCAGGGTGGTAAACACTCCAAGACTCTGAGATCAAATGGGCGCTTGAATACTGCGCAGCCTGCCGGTATCAACCTTGTTTGTTTTGTTTCTCCTCGTGCTGTTTTGACTTAAGTTGAAGATCCCGCCCCCCCAACCACTGACATAGCACGCCTGCCGCCGCCGAGCTTCTATATGAAAAGAAATCCCTTTATTTTGTCTTGCCTTTTTTTTTGTTTTAGTTGTTTTGTTTTGGGTTTGGTTATTTTTTGTATTTTGTTATACGTTTGGTTGGGGTGATCTGGTGGGAAAACGCGCGTTGGGGGATTCGGGCGACCGCCTCCCCTTATCCGGAATCCCATAGGCCTACCTGCCCTTTCTTGAGTTGAAACAGTGCCAAGGGGTGATGCGTTTCGGCGATGGGCTGGGCAGAAATATATAAGAGTAGAGAAGGTTAGATGGGAGAATAAACCACACCTGGGCCAGCATACCGCCCGACCGTTCTATTGGGAAAGGCCGTTGGGAAGAAAGCCTTTCCACTGCAACAAAGTATTCTGTAAGCTTTTTCGTGAAGCGCAGCTTCTCTACATTGCCCCCGTCCACAGTAAAGCGGCAACGGGGACTTTTTATGGCATCGCAGCTCGGCAAGTACAAGCTCGTATCTTCCCGCTGTCCACATTAGCTTGGTTTCGCGGTATCCGACCTGAACCCCTGGCTAAACGGTGCGGCGTCTTTGGGCCCCATGTTTGCAGCGGCGCTGCTGTTCGCACGTTATGCATGCAAAGGCAGTGATGGGCACTTCCCTTTGGAGCATCCTCTTG